TTAATTAGCAGGGCTTCATATCACCTGTCCTTTATTGTACCTTTCACTCTCTGTTTCTGTCTCTGATTCAATGTGCTAGCCCTGCACAACATGTTCACCCAGAGGAAACACTATCATACCCATCTCCATAGAGCCTGTATCAGCCTCACCTGCCCACCCCATCCTCTGCATGAACAAATGCAAAGACAGACCTTCCCACTGGGCATCCGCAGCAACCCCAATACGCCGTTAAGTCCTGTGACAGTCCTGTAATGGTAGAATATACTGGGGACTACGTGAGCATGGAAGGATTTGTAACCACACCGGCAGAGCAGATCAGGAAGGGCTTCCTGGAAGAAGTAATCCTTAGACTAATTCTTGAACTTCACCAGGAAAAGAGCTCAGGGTAAGGAGGAGGAAGAGGCGCAAGGCATGAGGAGTATAGCAGTAGGGCAATGGTGCCTTTTCACTTATCCTCTTATTATTTTCCACATCCTTCTTGAAGCCTTCTCTAGCAGAGGCTGTTAATTGCCTACAAATATCCACTTCTCTCTGGAATTAATAGGAAAGCAAGAATCCGTTGCCAGTCTCCCTTGCACTCACGTGCAGGGCTTGAAGAAGTCCCCATAAAAGAAAGCAAGTATGCCGTTCTTTCCTCTCCTCTCCATCTGGTGTCTGGAAGGTGGGTGTGACAGCAAGAGCTCTAGAGGTCACCTTGGAGCGGGGGCAGGGAACACAGGGAAAAGCGGAGGTGGAAGCTGGAAGGAGTGTGAGCCCTTGACAACGTCACGAAGGCGGCTTACCTCAGCAGTTTCTCTTATGGGAGAAACGGGTAAACTCTTACCATGTCTGGGCCATCATCAATTAGTATTTTTTTTATTACATGCAGTCATTCCTAAGTGATCCACCTTTCAAGACCATTCTAGCTCACAAATAATTATCATTTCCTTCTTTAAATTTATAGCACATGTTTGCACCACTCACTAGACAAATAAATCTCTGTCTGGAGACAACCGTTGTATGGCTATTTCACTTTTCCTGGATTTATATTATACCTTCCCAACAAGTTATATGGTTCTAGGAGGAAGAGCATCAAGCCATATTTTTTTTCTTGTCACCTCAGTTCCTAGCAAATTATCTGGCTTAGAGTACATGTTTAATAAATGTTTACTGTCTGATTATGCCATGATTGCCCTTTAGAAAAAATGTAGAGACTTTTAAATCTTGGTTTCAAACTCTCTAGAAAGGGAAGTTAACAGCGTCAAGGAAAATATCTCTTCTAAGAAAAAAAAAAAAAAAAAAAAAATGGAACCCATGCAGTGTGTCCCTGAGATGCCATAATATGACGTGTAGTCCAGAGATCTCTTACTTTGCTTTCTTGGAAATCGAAGTTGGTAGCACAGAGACCACCTTGTAGGCAGAAGCCGGTCCGTCTGTGAGTAGAGCCTCCCACTTTTGAGTTTGTCATCACTGATGAAGTTTGACCCCTAAAAACACAACCTCACGCATGTGGAAGCTATTGGTGCTAAAAGTCCCATTATCTCACGCAGGCTTCCCTTCCCTGTCCCCATCCCCAATACAGACTTCATCTACATTTGTGCAAGTAATGTGCCCCACCCCGTATAGAGCCTCTAATTTTTCTTTAAAAGCCTCAGAGCTCCATACTTTGGGACTGTCTGCCTTTCTGCAAACACTGTTTCTGCAAACTGTCATTAAAACATATCCCCGTGGTCCAGGGGAAAGAGGCAAGTTAAACTGAGGAAGAAAAGGGTGGCGGGGGGGATCGCATCTGTCTATTCACCAAATACAAATAAAAAAAGAAAAAAGGAAAACACAGGAAAGACGATTTATAATATCAAAAGAAAACAAAATCACTTTTTAATGGACTTTCTTTTGCCAGTTTTGAAGCTAAGCACTTGCTTCTTCCTTATTAACTTTAGTTTTTTGAGCAATTTCTTCCATTGTGAGCACTTTCTAAAAAATCATTTTCACACATTTCTCAGATACATTAATCCTTTTGGCATTCCTCTATGCACACATTGTGGTACCCCAGCTCCAAACATAAAAGACTTTTATTATGTCCATTAACCATGGACATATGTGCTCCAAAAGTTTTCTGACATGCAGTCATTTGTGGTTTTTTAATTATAAACAGAAAATATTCACTAGAAAAATAAAGAAGCAAGCCCATAAATATATCTTTATACGTTTGAGTTTTGCTTGTACATGACAAAACATTTGGATAAATGACTCCCGGGGGCAGGCTCCAGGATGTGTGCATGTGTGCATTTATAAATACGCGAATGAACTTCATTCACGTGTACAACTAAATCCCTGCATCGTGCAGGACTCACACATCTCTGAGAATACAGTTGTCTTGTCTCTAAAATAAGGGAACAGACTTTCCTTACACTCACCAGGTCTCACTCGATATGACTCTGAAATGGGAAAGAAGGCAATGCCCAGTGAAATACTTGACAAACAAGGTCATATTTATTGAATGCGTTTTATTTTAACAACCAAAAAATTCTAACAGCCTAACAATGCACATAAGTTAAAAATTAATTATCACTTAGTGATAACAAAGATAGTTGATTTACATGGAAAAAAGAACATTTACAATATGTTAATCCTTATTCACATTGTTGATACCGCAATAAAACACAATTTGTTTTTCATTTCACAAAAAAAAAAAAAAAAAAGGCGGGAAATTGTGCTTTGTCAAGAGGCACTACAAGAGAAAGTTTCTTCTTCCAAATAGATATTATATGACAGATATTGAATAAATAGACATATATGCATTGTAATTCGCAAAGATCTGGCAAGACCACAGGCTAAAATGCCCACAGATTCACTTAGAACCACTGCAAACTTGGCAGTGAAATTAAAAAATAAAAGGCAAGACTTAGCATTGAAAAATACCTAATAAATTTTTGGTTGAAGTGTAAAAGATACCAAATGCGGATGCCATCGATAGATGAACCACCTCGTAAGAGCTTGGCAAAATGTTTCCATTACGTGTACAGAGTGACCTTCAGCAACAGTGTAAGAAGACAATTTGGAAAGAGTAACTCGGAGATCAGGAAGCAGCAACCATGGACTTTCTGATTAAAGCTGCAGCATACTACAGAAATAGGAAGGCTGGGCCCAGGGCTTAACTGCAAACAACCATCCTTTTGCAAAGGTATATGATGCTCATGTCAAGATAATTTTTAAAACATCATTTTGAAAAAGTACAGGAAAATGTCCCTTTAAAAACTCCAGAGGTTACTGAGCAGCTAGAATTAGCTTGTATTGCAACATGTCTTCTCCCTGTATATTGTAAGTTCTGAGTTAATATCTTACACATAGAGGTTTTTGTTTTTTAACTCCTACCTTTTATACCTTTCAAATATATAAATAGTATTAACAGTTATATTACAATGTTTGTGTAGTAAACAGAAAATAACTTTCAAAGTGATATTGCATGAGGTCTTTGACAAGGTTGCATGAGAGCACAACTCAAAAAAAATAATCCAACCACGCGGGACTGTTTGATGGCCACGCTGAAGCGCGGATTCGGTTCACGAGGCCAGTCCTGAAGGTGAGGTCTCCTCTTGCAATTACTATAAGTAGAAGTGAAAAGTAATGCTATTGGTGTGTCTGATAGGCAGCTAAAGGAGGTTGGGAGAATTGTAGTAGAATGCAGCTTTAATGCTCATTCCACTAAACAGCCAGTCAGCATTAGTTCTGCTTTATATAAGGTAATTGCTATGTAGGTAACTGGGAAAATGTTCCCGTTGGAGATGAGTAGGTGATTCCGCTGCAATTGCTTCACTTACTCTATTGCCTGGAGCTGCACAATGATTCAGAAACAGGTTCTTGTTAGGGCTGCCCCACCAGGTAAGGGTTGAGGCCAGTGAGAGCTGGGACTGAAAGCGTGTGGGCAGGTGGATGGAATGTGTACGGAGAAGAGGAAGCCCAAAGTGAAACAGAAATGAGAAATGTCTTTTGGGAGAAGAAAGGATGGAGATTTATTTCAGAGGGAGCCCCTTTAACTGGGCAGCAACTTCTTTTCTAACTTAACATTACATTAAACTATTTTCTATTAAAAAAAAGAAAACAGCAACAAACAACTTTTAAATGAGCAGGCTTATTAATTTTAAGATTTGAAGCCACGAGCAGGTACGCAAATTTCACAACAGAATGTGGCTCATACTATGAATTCCATATGTCCAACGACAAAATGTCATTTTATCAAGACTGCACTAATGTACAAATTTTCTCTGTACTGAATTTCAGTTTTACTCGTTTGGAATTCCACAGAAATACATCTGTTCACTAAAGCAATAACAAGTTGAATAACGGAACATAGCGAGTCATTTTAAGTGTGCATTGTGTCTTTAAGAGTAATTTGACTTGTATCATTTAAGGTGCCCTGATTTTTTTCACTTTCTTCTTATTTCTTTCTTTCTTTTTTTTTTTTTTTTTGGCAGTGTTGATTTATTTTGTTAAATACATACCTCAAAAATTACCCATCAAGCTGCCAGAGAGGAAGCCATAGAATTAAAAAAAAAATCAGGGACAAACACAGAAAATAAATAGGAATTCAAAAATAGTCACCCCACCCTGAGAGCAGGCCGAAGTTTATCAAAAAGCCAAAGCGACTCACTGTGAAGTGGTTTTTTTTTTAATACATAAACAAGTCTCTTCTTTAAGAACTCATTTCACAGTCTATTCTTTCAGATTGTAAAGTTCTCTGTCCCATGCAATTTTAATATATATATGTAAATATATAGATATATACATATACATATACACACACACTTGTAGCTTCCTTCATTTTTTCGTAGGTCTTTTCATCCTGGAACTTGCCTGATGCCTCTTCCATAAGTGCAAGGATAATGAAGGCAGAGTCTCCTGTGATTATAATTACTATGATCCAGTCGATTGTAAAAGTGTAACACTTTAGTGTCTTTGCCAAGGCGACCTCTGATTCAGAAATACTGAATTTATTCAGTCTACAGGTGTATCCTGTGCAACAAAGAAATGTCAAAAAAGGTAAGAAAAACAAAACAGACAAAAAAACGACCAAAATAAAATAAAGCAAAAAAAAACAAAAAACAAAAAACTTTTTCTAAAGAAACGCAAACAGAAAATCCTTGGACCGATGTATTGCTTTGCCTGGTAGGAGTTCACATTATCTCTGGTCGATTTCGGCGGGCGCGGCCTTGCTTTTCTCCGCACTTTCCTCCTCCGCCTCCACTTTGTACATTTCCTCCGAGCCTTCCTCGCTGTCATTCTCTTCGGACTCTGTCAGCAGCTCCTCGTCCTTGTACTCGGCTACGTCCACCGCGGAGCCCAGGTGCTCCTTGAGCTTCCCATGGTGTTTCACGTGGTACCGCTGGTTCTGGAAGAACTTGATGATGGTGTGTTTGGGGAGATCCAGCTGGGCAGAAAGAGTGTGAATAGCTTCCTGGTCGGGATACAGGCCCACATCATGAATAAAACTTTGGAGAATCCCCAGGGCTTCCAAGGAGATCTTTGTGCGAGACCGAGGCTTTTTGGCACAACTGTCTTCGGTTGGAGGAGGCGGGGGAGGGGCTTCTTCTCTGGGAGGGGAACTCTCCTTGGCCGGCTGAGACTGCTGTCTATGAAGGACCTGATAATTAAAATAAAAAAAAAAAAATTAACATGTGACTCACAACTTTACCTTTCCAAAACCATCATCCTCTGAGATAGGTGTTGTCTGTCCAGCATTGGAGTAAGGCTACATTCATTTGTAAATTCACGTCTTTGGAAAACCTAAAAGCATTTCTGGAGATTTAGAATCATATTTATAAAACAAGAGATTAATAATGCTAATGTTTGCTAACACTCTGAGGCACAAAGAAGTTAGTCATGTTGGCCAAGGTCATCTGAATTCAAACAATCTGGCTCCAGAATCTTCCTTGCTATTAAGCAGCAAGATATGCCTGCCAAGTCTCTGAGAGCTAATGACAAAGAAACTGAACCCATAAAGACAGAGTAGGCTCTACAATTACAACTCCTAAGTTCAAGTCCAGACTCTTCCACTTATCTGGGTGTCCTTGTGCAAGACACTAAACATATTTAAGCCTCAATTTCATCATCTATAAAAGATGGATAAGACACTAACTTCCTAGGGATGTTGTAAGGATTAAATGACATAATGTATGCAAAGAACAGTGCTTACCTTAAATCAGAGGTTGACAGACTTTTTCAGTTAAGGGCCAGATAGTAAATATTTTAAGCTTTGCAGGGCCATACAGTCTCTGCTGAATGACTCAACTCTATCTTTATAGCATGAAAGCTGCCATAAGTAATATATATACAAATAAACATGGCTATATTCCAATAAAATTTTATTTATAAAAACAGGTGGCAAACTGAACTTGGCCCATGGGTCATAGTTTATCCACTTCTGGCTCAGGGCAAACAGCTAATAAATGACAGTCATTGTTATCATCAGCCTCATAATTACTCTTAGAGGAAGAGCTGATATTTGAGCCTGAAAAGCAATCCTTCATAAAATTAGGAAGTTTTCTTTATTTTCTTTTAGCTCCGCTTGTGATCCTTAAATATATTTTTAAATAAAAACATCCAAATTAATTTAAAGATAAATTTTTTCTTCAACTACAAATTTAAATGACTGCTTTATACTTATTTGGATACTTATATGGACTACATACTTATTTAGACTTTCTCAATATCACTATAAACTCTTAATCCTCTGTCTTGCACACACTTCCTAACTTCTATATTTTCATCCTTAATAGCAAAGTTTTCCAGCTGTAATTAATTTAAATTTCTCTTTTATTTCTGCTTATACCCCACTTATTTTAAAAAAAAAATTCTAGTTAGGCAAGCTTATTCTCGATCTTCATAATTGTTTCTTTACAACATCTCCCTGTGTGAAATAATTTCCCATTTGAATATTTACTTAGGAACTTCTTCAACCTGACAGAAGAAAGAAAGCAACACGAAGGAGACTGTCAGAGTGCCTGGCCTGTGCTCTCATCACGGGCTGTGCAAGGAGGCCTTCAGGGGCGGCAAGGACGGGGACAGGGAGCAGGAATCCTGAGTAGGAAGCTCGGCCACGGCTCACATCTCCCAACAGCAACAGCCCTGTGGTGTAACTAAAAGGCGGTGCGACAGGTCCCACTAACAAGCCCTGTCTCTACTCCAAAGGCACGTTTCTTCTACCGAAATGGTGCCTGCTCTCCGGGTCATCCTGAGACCATTAAGAACAGTGAGTTTACTTTTTAAAAAAAACACACAAATTTTTCCTCTCACCATTCTTTCCTATTTTACACCATCTTTTCCATGTTAGGATAGCAAGTTAAATATTTTCCAGAGTTCAGGGGGTTTCAGTCCCATCAGAGTGGAAGAAAACATGTCTTGTTACCTGGTCCCTCCCACCTTCACCATCGCCCCACACTCTACCCACGTGACCCATCTTCTCTTCTTAGCTATAAAACATCATCATCAAAGCATGTATTTAAGGGGGCGGATCTCTGCCATCTATCCTAGTCTTAGGGACCATTTGATGAAAATAATTTCCCAGTAATCTGAAAATACCAGTCTTTTATAGAGAATTTAATAAATATTGGGGCAGACAAAACTGTCACCTAAGAGAATGATAAACAAAAGAGAAGAGTTTTCAAATAATAATTGACAGCCAAGGAACAATCAAAATAATAATAAAAAGGATAATCAAATACGGACAAGAGTACCTCATAATAGCTGACAGCCTAGCCTACAGTAGCAAAAAGAAATCTGAAGCAGAGGACCATAAAACAGGGGCACTAAAGGTCCATGTGATGTTCACCAATTAAAATGAATGTTCTTGGCATTTTCTTTATCACTTTCAACTAAGAGGAAACTCATACGGTCTGCTGTGGTAAGCTGGCATCAGCAAAAAAAAGTGAGAGCTCCATTACTTCAACGTCCTAATTACAGCCATCAGGAAGAGCAGAGGGGCACATGGGCCGGTCCTGCTCGTGGCAGCTTTGATGGCAGGACAACACTGACTCCGAGGTCAAAATCGGGGCAGCCGGAGCATTGTCATAAATGAACCTCTATGTCAACAGGTGAGGATTTGAGTTTCTCGTGCGAAAGACAGAGAGAAAGACTGGAATTAGGTATGAAATACACATCCTGGAAGAGCATACTCTCAAGCACGAGTACCCCCTATTAGAGCAATTGCGTTAATTGGAAAACAGAAGAGAATTAGAATGCCCCATTTTCTAAATTATGCTTGTCTTCTTTAGTAAAAGTCAGCATAACAGTTCCATTTAATGAAATAATTAGATTGGTTCTTTAGGGGTTTTCCACTGTGTACTGGTTAGATTTAAAGAGACTTTCCAAAACTATACTTGGAAGTTGCTATAATCTTTCTGTGTGACAGGGGCCGTTCCTCTCCTTAAGTCCCACCAGTGGGGCCGACGTCACCTCCCCTGCTTCACGTTGGGACCTACCAGTAAAAACACGTGCACATAGGGAAGCCACATCTGAAATAGAAACATAACAGTAATAATAGCTGCCACTCACTAAGCGCTTACCCTGTGCCAGGCAGCTCTAAGAACTTCACATAGGATTAACATTGATAATCCTCTCAGCACCTCATGAAGGTGCTAGTTGGATCAAGAACAACTTGAAAACATGGAGAACCTAGGAAAACCTTTTGAGTTGGAAATCAAGAACACAGGGAGCTGTCGGCCTGAGAAAAGAGGTTTCCAAGGAACAGTGAGATCCCACCACGGAAGAGAAAGACATTTCTTAGAGAAGTAACAACAATAGGAATAATCTACAAAGTGAAATATCTTGGTTCTGGTCAGACAATATTCTACAGTGAGTTGGGCAGCATGGCATTATTTACGTGAACAAGGTTAAGTGATAGTCAATTCCTAGCCTCTTTGGGCAGAGAAGGAAAGAGCAGCCAGAATGGAAGATGACGAGATGAGCCGCTTTAAGGTGAAACTGTCTTACAAGTCATCTAAAGGGCCCGCCTGAGGTTTTTCCATGACACTGACACTGTTCTTTGACTACGACCCCCTTTTCAACCACATAAGACCTGAGATGTGAACATTCCCCAAGTTATCTGGCCCAATGACCTTCTTTCCCCACAAATGTTCTAATTATGCCACATAGAGAGTTGTTTATTGTCCCTGGATAATTTTTAGTAAAAAGAATCGCATAAACTCCCTCAGTAGCCCAATGCAGTAGCTTATTATTATGACAATCTAGGAATTCTCCTTTATGTCACATAGCATTTTGTTCTGGCGGTTTAAGTACTCTGAACACGGCAGAATGGAGCCTAATGCTCCCAAGGTGGTCTTTCCAAGATGGAGATCGGCCCAAAGCCTCTCTTAAAATCTTCCCATTTCAATGGCAGGAACTTTTCTTCACTTGCTCACCTCTTGACTAAATAATGCCAATTATTTTAGCCTCTTCTTCACAAGACAGGCTTCTGAACCCACTTAACTGAATTTTAGTTTTTCTATCTGAATTTTTCAGAGGTGTTCAAAAACTCCTTGTCAGGTAACCAAAATGAATCCGGTTTGGTCTCTGCCCGAAGCAAGCGCCCCACTAACTGAGGTTGAGGCCCTATCACCAGTCCCTGCTGGATGGACCTATAAGCCGTCCTGTTCCTCAGCTCATTTGATCATTCAGGCATATATTTCTGGCCGATTGATTTTTTTTATTACAAAATTTTTCAATTATTTCAACAAGACAGAGTATACCCTGTTAACTTAACAGAGATGTGCTTTCTCCTAACAAGTTCTTCACATACCCAGGTTATTGATTTCTGAGATTTTTTAAGTTGAATGAAGCATCTTCCCAGATATTTAAGCAAAATTGTCCAAGTCTGCAGACTTTCAGCCTCATCCCTTGTCCGCTTTTTCAAAACGGGCCCAGTGTTGACCTTTTTCTCTTCCTAAGGTCCATCATACTTCATGTGATTTCCCCAAATAACAGAATATGTCATTCTGTAAAGACAGCCATCCATCCCTTTACTCGTGACCTTTGTAAACTGAAGCCTGATAATCCATCCTCGCTCTATTTTGGTTTGGATTTTTCTTTATCACAATTGAACTTTAACCTAGTGCACAATTCATTTCTGGTAATTTCTACAAAGAGAGTTTTAGAAGGTTTATTTAAAAATCTCTTTTCCATAGCTTGTATTATTGATTTTTCAATATAACAATTAGGGTTGCTATCACTGACATTTCTAAGTAGCTTTAATAATAATAATGACAATTGTAATGGTAATAATACGTGGCAGCATTTATAGTAAAGCTTATTATGAGCCAAAAACTGATCTAAATGCTATAAATGTATTTTAATTTAGTTTATTTTCAGTAATCCTGGAGGAAGGTATTTTTATCCATTTTATGCTGAAAAAGCTGGAGTTTGGAGGGTTTTGATCATTTGTTTGGGACTGCAAAGCTTGCAAGTAGCAAAACTGGAATTCTAAAACATGTCTGTCTGCTTCCAAATCCTATGCCCTTAAACCTTATGCTCTCCTGCCTTCTGTGAGCAAGATTACATAGGAAAATTGAACAAAGTCTCTAGAGCAGAGGTGACAAACCATAAATAAAATATCAGGCAGTAATAACTACTATAAGCAAAAATAGAACA